AAGCCATCAGCTGTTTTGGAAAAGGCCAGATGAGTGCCAGAACATTTCTCTTGGCTTTCGCCCAGGACCTGGCCAATCGTGGACGAAAGCCAATGGGGTGATCAGCAGCAGGTGTCCCTCCTGTTAAGAGAACAAGATTAAAGCAGGCCCTGCTTGGGAGATATTTGGGGGGGTTCATCTGCCGGTGGATGCACCAAGCAGAGGTTCCTTATTACATAGGAAGGACCCTCTGAACAATAAGGTAAAATCCAACCATGATCTCGACTGGCATTTCCCACAGGATGGCTTCATGAGGGGTGCTGGGTTCCTTACTTTCCTTTCTCTTTTTCTCTGTCATAAAACCCATGGTGAGCAGGATTGTTACTTTGTTCATTCCACCCATTGTTAGTCAAACTGTACTGTTTGTACCTTCTATGTTGTTTGAATTCATGGTTTCCTCTGCTGTACCCATGAGTGGCCGAACTATGTTGTTTTTCTGGTTCCAGAAAATAGATAATCAATTTATACTGATTTTCCTGTTGATAGCCTTGTTTTTCCTGATGGGGTATCTAATTGGCAAAACATTAGCCCACTCTATTTTGTAACCTTGAAGTTTCTCAGTGCCATTATAGGCTCAGGAGCATCATACTGCTGAGTAATTTACATTCTCTTCCAGGTACCTGCTAACCTAATGTCATTTGAATAATTTGCTCTCCTGCCTGGTGTGACTTCAAGTGCCAAACCGAAGAAATAGGCTATTGTTCTCTAAGGATGAAAAGGAGAATGGTTTTCCTGACATGAGCCAGCCACAAATATCTGAGCACTTTCCTGTGTAACTTGAAAGTGATTCCGACACAGCTTTTAGAAACAGAAAGTGAATGTTGTCCTTAGGACCAGATATAATCTCATGCACTGAGTGAAAGCAGACAAGTTAGATGGACAGAAGATTAATCCTGACTTCTGCAGGATCCTAGAGCCCTCAACTTTTTGTGGTCAGAGACTGCCATAAACTGCTGTTTGACCACAAACTGAGCATCCTATCTTCTGTCTATTCTTTTTTAAATGTTTCTTTTATTGTTAAGCTGCTTTGTGTGACTGAAGAGTATTTGGCCCATGTTGGGTTTCAGTTCTTTCTAATGCACAGATTGATTGACAGTGTTAACTTGCTACAAAGTGTCAATTAGAATCGAAAATTGCAGAACGACATTTTTATAATCTAAATGCACTGAGTTGCTTGGCAATGTGGCTGCCTCAGATTTTGAATCAAATCTATGGACAATTCTGCTGTTCACATTTGAGCTATTTGGGAAAATGTATTTTGGCACATGACAGTTGGTTTTCTTTGCATTCAGTTCTGTTACTCAGAACATTTAAAGTTATGCTGTGCAAAAGGTCATCTTTCATTCTCTTACTAGGGGCAAAGTTTCTTACAAGTTCAATTTTTCTTCAGTCTAAATGTTGTTCATCTTAAATCCCTTGGTACAGCAAAGTGGGTAGTCAGGTATTATGTATGACGTGGTCATGGTGCGTCAGAATGATTCCGTGTCGTTGTTTCTGTTCTTTGTATGGATGACCCAGCTCCACTCAATTCCAGTACATGTTGTACCTTCATGATATACAGTGTTGGCATGTGGTACTGCTATCATGAAATCATGATGGCAGTGAAAGCTAAGACTGTCTGACAGTGGAGCAAATATAAAGAAGCCTCCACAACAGTGTCCAGACAACAATGCAAAAAATAATGGAACTTCACCTTCTGAAAGAACTCTCTACATCTGTAGCTGTATTCCTGCT